AAGAGTTGGGAGAGCTGTAAGAGGGGTGCCGCCTCCCCTGTCGGGGCTCTGGCCCTGGCCCTGGCCCTGCTCCAGCCCCCGCCCAAGCCACACAGGGATCTGGGATCTGGATCCAGCCCGGCTGACAGTCCCTCAGGCCCGCAGCCCTGCCCAAACCTCCTCTTCGGCAGCTCTCTTCAGCGCGGGCCCTTCGTCATCCTCCTCTTCTTCTTCCTCATCTGAGGAGCCAGAAACGGGTCATTGGGGAAGGGCAGGAAGCTCTGGCAGAGACCCCGTATGGTCACCCTCAGCCCTGCCTCAGGTCTTCAGTCCCACCCTGACTGTGCTCCTTTGAGCCCCAATGTTTTGGCCCACCCCCCTGCCCCTCCCCACCTTCTTCTTCCCCTTCATCCTCCTCCTCTCCATCCTCGGCTGTCTCTTCCTCCTCCTCCTCAGCTCCGTTCTCCTCCTCCTGCGGGGACCAGGAGAGCCATCAGGTTGGCTGTGTGCCTCCCCCACCATCCACCCTGGGAAGAGCAGCTGCACCCAGGACCTCAGAGGGGGGCAGAGGACGGAAGGGGGAAGGGTTAGGCAGGACCCAGCACCCCGGACCAGGACAGGTGGAGGTTAGAGCAGGATGGGAGGAAGCTGGTGGAAAGCAAGCGTGGTCACCTCCCACCTGCCCCCTGCACACCTCCACCACTTCTTTCTTTCGCTCTTTCCGGCTTGCCTTCTCCTCCACCTTTTCCTTCTTCTCCTTCAGGTCCTGCAAGGGAGAAAGAGGTCACCTTTCTCTCACCACCAATGATCTGCAGCCTTTAAGTCCCTCCAGCTCCGGGTCTCGGTTCTCCCTCTGCAGTAAGCTGACAGCAGTGGAGAACCGGAGAAGGTGGCCACAGCTTAGAAGCGCATCAGAGGTCCCAGGGTCCTTATCCCAGGGGCTCAAAGGGGCTTCGATCAGACACCTCCTTCCCCAAGACCCAAGGGGGTTGGGAGAGTGAGGAAGAAGGGCGGCAGGCAGCCAGGTACCTGATCCCCACCCCCATCAAGTTCTTCCTAACCTCACTGGCTGAAGAGTTCAGCTCAGCAAAGCAAATCCCCTCCATCTGCTGGCGGCTTGGGCGCCCCCCCCCCTCCCAGCCCCTCCGCCTCCTTGGCCTGCCCCCTCCCACTGCCCGCTCAGCTCTCCTTTTGTGTCTACCTCTAGGGCCTTTTCCTGAGCCCTCGCTCTCCTGGGCATCCCTCCCAGCTTCTACGGCCTTTGTTTCTGTCTGCGTTCTCAGACTCCTGTTCCCACTTGGCCCAACACTACAGAAACGGTCGGAGCTCCTTGCGCACTCTCAGCACCCCCTCCCACTTTTTCTTAGCCCCACCCCAAAACAGTTCAAGTAGTTTCCTCCTCCCAAGGTTAGCAGCAGCCATTTCCAAAGGGAACATAGGTAAAGGAGATAAAAAGGGAAGAGGAAGAATACCAGGCAGGCGGGCAGGCAGGCTGGCTGGCTGTGTCGGAGGGAACGCAAGTGGGATAGGTACCTGTCTGGAGGCCCCTCCCACTACACCGCCGTCTTCGCCCCAAGCTCCCAACAGGCATGCCCTCGTGTCCTGTTCTCCTATGGCAGGGGGAGTCCCCTCTGGACGCCTCACTCGCCTTCAGTCCTCTCCCACCCACTCCCAGGCAGACGCTGGGAAGCACCAAGGGGTGGCGGTGTGACCTGACCAGTGTCAGACCTGCCTCCTGGGAGTGTTCCGAGATCGCCCTGGGAGGGTGTGTCCCTCTGGAGCAGGGCTGGGGCAGAAGGGCGGGCGGGTGGGCCAGGAGGCCTGGGGGTGTCCACGCTTCCCTTCTCCCTCCCCGGGGGCCCAGCACCAGGTCTGCAAAGCCCTGGCCTGAGTTTTCCGCATCTGGGCCAATGGAGGGAGGGAGGGAGGGAGAGTTCACCAGAGACCAAAGTCCAAGGGGCCGGGCCCTCTCCTCCCCTGTCCAGTCCTCTGGTCACTGTCCTCTCATGCTCCCTCTTCCAGGAGGGTACACGACCTGGGCCCCAGGTCTTGTGCTAAGCAGCTCTCTGGCCTCATTTACTCAACACAGACACGGCTGACACAGGCTGACACCGATTCACACGCCGCCACAGAGGAGCGCCCGGCGATGCCGAGACAGAGACACATGGCCGTGTGGGGCGTTCTGGCACACACACTCCACGCAGCCCCAGCTCGGCGCTGCCGCTCACACTCACAAAGCCGCAACATGGCTCCAGACCCGCTCGGCTCCACATGCACACATGTAACTGACACGGGCAGTCCCACACACTCGCTGGATTTCAGACATACAAAGACACCTACTCAGTTAAGTCACATGCCACCGCACAGCCCACCCGGGCCCCACGGGCACACCTTGTCAGAGCTCACACAGGGCCCTCTCGCACCGCCTGTAATCCCATCGGCTCCCCGCTTTCACTTGGCAGGCCTCGGGGAGACCCGTGTGAAGCCTCCTCGGACACCAGCCCCCGCCACGCTCGGCCTCCGGGCCCCCAAACCCTGGCCGCGTTCATTTCCCAAAGCGACATTGGGCAGGCTCCCCAGGGAAATAAGAGGAAGGCTGACGGGAGGCAAGGGCGAAGGGATGCGGCCGCCAAGGGGAGCTGGGCGCGCAAGGGCAGGCGACGCGATGCCCTGCAGGGCCGGGCCTCGGCTTTTTCGAAGGCTATTCCGCCCCCCTTCGGGTTTTTAGGAATCCGAGATTCTTTACGCGTGTGTGAGTGTGCGCGCGTGTGTGTGTTCGGGGGGCGAGAAAGAGAATGAGAGCTGAAAGCCAGCGGAGGAAGGAACGATGTGGCCGGGAAAGGAGGGAACGCGAAACCGGCCGCCGCCGTCCGGGGAGAGGAGCACCGGCGGGGCGCGGGGGGGGGGGGGGGGGGGGGAGGCGCCC